AAGCCAACCATATTGAAATTTCCCAAACTGTTAAATGGAAGTCTAAGTATGTTCATATTGTTCATGTTAAGGCTGTTAATCGTATTTAAGGCTTGCATTTGTTCGCGGTGAAGCTTTCCTTGGATGCGCTTTCCGTATGGCGTATTGCGAATGGCCGGTAAAAGAGGTCGGATGCAATCCACAAGCTATTACAAAAGCGGAACATCTTTAAATAAAAAAAAATTCAAAGACAAAAAATAATAAATTCAAAGATAAAAAAACCATACTTGAGCACGCTGCACGGGGTCCGCATAATCGAGAGATGTTTGAACCACGTAGTTTGCATACGAGTCGCGCAATAACTTGTCGAGTCGATTCATGTTGAGCATTTCGTCAATTAGCAATTTGCGCGTTTCCGGCTCGGAAACTCTGATGCACTGGACGGGGAACATTCAAGGTTAAGAATCGCGCGCGAAAATTTCCTGTAAATAACTACCAAATATCAAATAAACGGGTACCAACTTTTTCCATGACATTTGAACTGAACTTTTGCACAGACAGCAAGCACACGTTGCCGATAAACTTTCGAATCAACGCGTCCTTAAAACGACTGTCGCCAAGGTCCAAAACGTACTGAACCACGTAGTTACCAAAGGGATCCTAGGCAGACAGAAAGAAAGATCGAGTTCAGCGCGTGTCACATCATACAAATAAAGGTGGAGATAAATAACACACGCGTAAAACTTACTTGAACCAATGTGAGCGCATTGAATGTGATTTCAGTTACAAGCTGAATCTTTTGCGATTCGCTGGCGTGATCTATGCATCTCTGAAGCACGCAACAGCCGTGGCGGTGCGTCGCAACTTCAACGCAATTTTTGCTGACAGCGTTGTATACAAACTGTTGAATGATTATTATTATTATTATTCTGAACTTCTCTTGAACTTTTGATTGTGGAGAACGCAGACCGTAAAATTTGAGACTATTTACCTGATTATCCTCGGAACTTAACCGATGCAAACATTTTTGGATAACATGATTGCCATTCAAATCTTTAATCA